GGGGGTTGGTGGTTCTGGCCCCATTTCCTCCCAGAGGGGCCAGGCCGGGCCCAGCCGCTGTTCCGTCTAAGCGGGGGAGGGGATGGCATTCCAGCCACTCCTGGGGCTCTGCTGAGATTGGGGGGCAAGGATCGTCCCTGGGGCATCTCTGCAGCTGGGACATCCCACTCGCATTTACACACGCTTTAAGATCTGCACATGGGCAGAGATTTCCCCCCCACAACCTTGGTTAACCTCTCCCTGCCTGGGGTAGGCTGGGCTGGGCTAGGATTCGGGGCAAACAGGCATGGGGGTGGGGGGGGACTTAGCTCCGTGCCCTGAACAGGGTGTATAAGGGGATGTTCCTCTCCCACACAGGAGCTTGCTGGCCCCCCCAGGAGCCCACTTCCCCCCCATTCCCCATATGTGGGTGGACACGAGGTCCCAGCACTGCCTCTGCCCCCCAGGACTATACACAAACTCTCTCCTGCCAGTCGGGATGTGGGGGGAGCCCCGGGCTGGGCTAGCAGGGCTGTGGGTTGGAGTTGAGGGGCCCCGGAAGAGCTGGGGGGACAGGGCTGGGCTAGTAGGGAGCTGTGCGTTGGGGTTCAGGGGGCCCAGCAGAGCTGGGGGAAGCCCTGGGTTGGGTTGTCCAGACCTCACCCCTTGACCTGGTCTCCCGCTCCCGTCCTCCCAGGTCCTGTGTATCCACCTGGCCTGGAGGCTGGAAGATGAAACCCGCGAGGAAGGCTGCCACCTCCTCCTCTTCCTCCTCGTCCAGCAGCAGCAGCCGCTCTCCCCCGTCCACCCGGGCCAAGACCCAGAAGCGCAGGACGGCTGAGGGGGGGCCCAAGCCGGCAGGGGAGGAGGAGGGGGGCGGGGGAGGCGGGGAGGAAAGCCCTGCCCAGCCCCCGCCCTTGCCAAGCTCCCACCTCATGCCAGTGAAGATGGACCCCTACGAGCCGCCCGAGGGGGAGGTGGGGTGCGACGACCCCCCAGGGGAGCCCCCTCTGAGCCGCAAGACGGCCACCTTCAAATCCCGAGCCCCCCGCAAGAACCCGGCGGCCGGGGAGGAGTGGAGCGGGTCCGAGGGCTCCGGGGCGCCTGGCGAGGAGGGCGCCGGGCACTGCCCCTCCTCCAGCACCGACACGGCCAGCGAGCACTCGGCCGACGAGGACGCCAAGGGAGCCGGGGGGGAGTTGTGGGGCCCGGCCCCCGGCCCCAGTGATTACGACCTGCGGCTGCTGCGTTCGCAGCGGGTCCTGGCCCGGCGCCAGGGCATCTTCCAGCCAGCCGTGGTCAAGCACGTTCGGCGTGGCCAGGACCTGGGACTTCAGTTCGCCGGCGACCGGGCCATCACCTATTACGAGGGGGCGCTGGGCTCGGGGGCCCTGGACGTGGTCCTGGACACCACGCCCCCTGCGGGCGCTGTGGCAGTGGGGGCCCGTGTCTGCGTCAGCGTGGCCCCCGAGGAGACGGCCTACTACGAGGGCACCGTGCTGGAGGTGAGCCTGAAGCCGGCCTCCTACAAGGTGCGTCTCGCCAGCCTCAGCCCGGCCCCCCGCAAGGACACGGTGTGGGTGCCGCGCTCCGGCCTGCGGCTGCTTCGCCCGCCCTGGAGCCCGGCTGTCGCCGCGCCCCCCAAGCCAGAGGAGGAGGAGCCTCCCTGCCCTGAGCCCAAGCAGCCGGAGGACGCCGAGGTCTCCAAGATCAGCGCCGGCGTGCGGGGGGCAGGGGAAGAGAAGCCCCCGGCCGCCCCCCCGCAGCTGCTGTCGCCCCCCAAGTCCCCGGCCTTTGCCCGCCTGCCGGAGCAGGCCTCCCCGCTGCTGAGCCCCGAGGCAGGCGGCAGCCGGAGCAGCAGCGTGGTGTCGGTGGAGAAGTGCAGCACTCCGGGCTCGGCGCGCTCCCGCACGCCCCTGACGGCCGCCCAGCAGAAGTACAAGAAGGGGGACGTGGTCTGCACCCCCAACGGCATCCGCAAGAAGTTCAACGGGAAACAGTGGCGCCGGCTCTGCTCCCGCGAGGGCTGCATGAAGGAGTCGCAGCGGCGCGGCTACTGCTCCCGCCACCTCTCCATGCGCACCAAGGAGCTGGAGAGCCTGTCGGAGGGCCGGGCCAGCGGGCTGCGGGAGGGCAGCGCCGAGTTCGACTGGGATGAGACGTCCCACGACAGCGAGGCCAGCAGCGCCCGCGGCGACTCCCGCCCCCGCCTGGTGGCGCCGGCCGACCTGTCCCGCTTCGAGTTCGACGAGTGCGAGGCGGCCGTCATGCTAGTGTCGCTGGGCAGCTCGCGCTCGGGCACCCCGTCCTTCTCGCCCGTCTCCACCCAGTCGCCGTTCTCCCCCGCCCCCTCGCCGTCCCCCTCGCCCCTCTTCGGCTTCCGGCCCGCCAACTTCAGCCCCATCAACGCCTCGCCCGTCATTCAGCGGGCAGCCGCCCGCAGCCGCCACGTCAGCGCCAGCACGCCCAAAGGGGCGGGGGGCGGCGTGCTGAGCCCCGAGATGCTGCACCACGCCCCACACCGGGAGCGGCACTCCTCGGGCATCGTGCCCACCTTCCAGACCAACCTGACTTTCACCGTGCCCATGAGCCCCAGCAAGCGCAAGGCAGAGGCGCCCCATGGCGGGCCGGGTGGGGGCGCCGACTTCCAGAAGAGCGACAGCCTGGACTCGGGGGTGGAGTCGGTCTCCCACACCCCCACCCCCTCCACGCCCGCCGGCTTCCGGGCCGTCTCGCCCCCCGGCCCCGGGCCCTTCTCCTCCCGCTCCCAGCAGGCCTCGCCGCTGCTGCTGCTCTCCCCGCCAACCGGGCTGACCTCCGACCCCAGCCCCACGGTGCGCCGGGTGCCGGCTGTGCAGCGGGACTCTCCCGTCATCGTCCGCAACCCCGACGTGCCGCTGCCCTCCAAGTTCACAGAGAAGCCGCGGGATGGGCGGGCGGGCAGCCCCCGGCTGGGCAAGGTGGGCACCAAAGAACAGCTGCAGGTGCCGGTGCCCATCAATATGGGGCGGGCACTGCCCTGCAGCCAGCCCAGCGCTGTCCCGGCCCCGGAGCAGGCGCCCCCCGTCTTCAGCGTCTCCTCGCCCTTCCAGCCAGTCGCCTTCCACCCTTCCCCGGCCGCCCTGCTGCCCGTCATTGTGCCCAACGACTACTCCGGGCCGCCGGCCCCCAAGAAAGAGATCATCATGGGCCGGCCTGGCACAGGTAAAGGACCTCCGAGGGGCCCTCAGGCCTGGCCTCAGCGCGGTGCTGCAGGGAGCGGGGTGGGGGCTCAGGAGGGGGCGCTCTTCCCTCTCGTATACATTGCTCTTGAACCTGCACATCCGTGCCGGGAGAGGGGTCCCTGTATGAACAGCTCCTGCGCCCCACCCCAGAGGTGGCCGCATCCCAGTGCCGGGCGAAGGGTCTCTGTATAACCAGATCCTGGGCCCCACCCCAGAGGTGGCTGCATCCCCGTGCCGGGCGAGGGGTCCGTGTATACCCAGCCCCCGCCCCACCCCAGAGGTGGCCGCATCCCAGTGCCGGGCGAAGGGTCCCTGTATAACCAGCCCCCGCCCCACCCCAGAGGTGGCCGCATCCCAGTGCTAGGTGAAGGGTCCCTGTATAACCA